GCACTCCTGGAAACTCCTGGGTGATGCGCTGAGGGGACACCGACACTCCTTGGAAGCAGTGTGTGCTACCGATGATAGCGACAAAGACATCCTAGACCTGGTGTATACTAATGGTCGGGATGTCGATACCCTGGGATCTCTCCGAGACTTTCCGAGGCTGAAGTGTTGCCACGTGCCGGTAGAGGCATTCCTCGATCCTAGGATCGGTGGAAATGATCTCTCATTGTATGTACCACCGCAAGTGGGAAAGGCTAGCACCAAGGTCGCACCGAAAGGTCTAGATTGTGAATGCGTTTTCTGAAGGCCGGTCTGGTATGGAGAGTCGTTACGTATCTTTCAGGCCGAGATTTAAGACGGGGAGGACATCAAGTTGTTTGTAACTTTCGGTGTGTACCAGAGTCTTGTTATTGACATGGCTGCGTTTTGGGCCTGGTGTGTGATGGAGGAGCGTCTTCTACAAGGAATTAGTTCAGTAATAATGTATAATGGTTGCAAATCACCGCGTTACCAGTATCGTTTTCGGCTTTGCCTACACATATACTAGGCGTGTCTCTGTCGGATTGCGACAGCAGTAAGGTGGCCAGTCGCCGACGCGTCGCTGTACGTGAGTGCAACTCTGATCGATGTCGTTGTGATAACGAGCTTCACCGCAAGTGTACGATGGCAAACATCAGCTAGGCAGAGATGCCTCCATCGTGAACCTTGGAAGGTTGAGGCAGGCGCGCTCGTGTCGCGTCGCAGCGTGATGACGTAATATTGAGATCGATCTTAGCGTGGCTAGTTCCCCTCACACATCAGAACCACGACCTCGACATCTCAATATTCGTGCATCATTTGCTAAACACCGGTACTCAAATTCTACGCATTTCCGAGTAGACTTTACTTTCTAATGACAGCTATCGTGGCCTCTGTACGGCGCGTATCCCGAAGCCCAGCGTCTGCTTGTCCCTGCCTACCACAACGTTCGTGCGCTGGTTGGCCATCGCCCCTGTCGGAGTTGCGCGAATAATTGTTTCTTTCTTCCGCGCGTTTGCAGCGAGTAGGAAGGCCTTCACAGGCCTTGATTGCGCTCTACCGTATATCGTTGAGACAACTCTTAAGCGCGGACGCTTTCCGCTCGTGGTAGGTACAATTCAAGATTCGACGCCGCCGAGCACCACTACGCGCAGACTAAGTTCGCACATTCCCTTTTCTATGATCTCCTTCCTCTTATCTCCTCTAGAGTCTAGCTGCGAACGCCTCTTGTCCAGGTGTTGTATATTGGTCCGCATGCCCAGACGCCTTGGAAGTCTTGGGCTCCGCTAGCGGGCCGTGGCAATGATGTTCGCTCCTTTCCCGAGGCCCTCCCGAGAGTACCAAGCCGGATATCTGTGGCGCACCATGTGTATACGAATTTCGCTGCTTGGCAACAGTACTCCACTCAAGAAGTGTATAGACACCTTCCCTATCAAGTTAGCGGAATGGTAGTCCTGACCTTCCGCATGGAGTATGGATGCCAACGGATGCCCAGAGTATATTGCTGTACCAAGACGGTAACATGGTACTGAATGGTCGTGTGGCAAGGCAACGGTCGAGGGCGAGATCTTGCACCATGAGGGTACCACACTCATATATATACCTGTTGAGCTGCATAGGAAATGTGCTCATTCCAGCTCAATCCTTCTCTTAGCTCCTCAAGATGAAGTTCTCACTCGCTGTGTTGGCACTCCCAGTTGCGGTCCAGGCTGCGCACTACTCCAAGTCGGAGTATGCCTCTGGCGCAATTCATCAGAAATTGATGAAGTTGAAGAGTGTATGTTCGTCCTTTGCTTCTTTCGCCGGACGATCAAGTACTAACATCTTCTAGGATCAATGGGAAGTGGACGCAGCCCAAGGCAAGCAAGACTCTCAGCAGTGGAAGTCTTTCAAGAGCTTGAAGAAGGGGCCCCATGGACCCGACAAGGCCAAGCGTGTCCAATGCAAGGATGGTCTCGCCATCGTCGAGCAGGGCAACGCGAACCAGACGTTCAGGTGTAACAACATGGACCTCTACGACTTTGTCAACCATGCCGACATGGGAGGTCCTGAAGGTCAGGGTAGCTCTTCATGGGGCTGGACCGCTCGCAATGGCCGCGAGTTCGGTATCGTAGGCCAGTTCTCCGGTGCCGCGTTCGTTGAGATCCTCAAGGACGGCCAAATCCAGTACATGGGACGTCTCCCCGCACAAAGCGTGGGTTCGCGATGGCGCGAGATCCGTGTGCTGAACGACTATGTCATCATCGGCTCCGAGGCCGTTGGTCACAACGTTCAGATCTTCGACATGAAGAAGCTTCTGACTGTCGACCCAAAGACCCCGAAGACATTCGACCCCAAGGCCGACCTCGTTGGTCTGTTCGACGAACTGCCCATTGGCCGCACCCACAACGTCGTTGTTGACTGGGACAACGAGTACATCCTCGCGGTCGGTGCCCAGCCCCGAAACCAGACCTGCAAGGCTGGTCTCCAGTACATCGACCTCAAGAACCCTAGCAAGCCAACCTCTCCTGGATGTGCTAGCCAGGACGGATACGTTCACGACGCCCAGTGTGTGACCTACAACGGTCCCGACCGCAAGTTCCGCGGCCGCAACATCTGCATCGGCTACAACGAGGACACCATGACCGTCTACGACTCCACCATGAAGAACGGCAACCCCGCCTCCGAGGTCATCTCCACCCTTTCTTACCCCGGTGCCACCTACTGCCATCAAGGATGGTGGACCGAGCGCAACTGGCACCAGTACGTCCTCCTGAACGACGAGCTTGACGAGCAGGAAGCTGTCGGTCCCGCTGCGTCCGGCCGCCCCGTCACCCACATCATCGACCTCACCGACCTCCGCAACCCCAAGGCCACCGGTACTTTCTACGCCACCGACAGCAAGGGTATCGACCACAACCTCTACATTGTCGACGGCCTCGCCTACCAGAGCAACTACGGCGCTGGTATCTGGGTACACGATGTCCGCAGCATTAGCAAGGACCCCACCGGAAAGGGCGTCAAGACCGAGGGCTTCTTCGACATCTACCCCGAGGATGACTCTGTTGGCGGTATCGTTCAGTTCGTTGGTACTTGGTCTCACTTCTTGTTCCCCTCTGGATACATCCTGGTTAACACCATCGAGCGTGGTGCATTCACCGTCAAGCTCGCCAAGGGTCGCGGAGCTAAGCGCGGTCCTGGCTTTGGTGGAAAGTCCAAGGGCCAAGGCAGATAATCGCCTTGTAAATGGTATAACATAGAAAATCACATCTTCATTACTTCAATTTTGGTATATCTAATATCCAAGTTCTGCATGCAAGTGTCATGGCTGCTGAACGTCGCTGCCGCGCCTACTGCTGACCTGCTTGGACCATTCCTAATCGGGAAGGGTACGCAAAACACTAAGCCCTGGAAGTCCTTCAAGCTCCCTCTGCTCTCTGGAATGCTTCTTGTTATCACCTGATCTACGCGTCTTCTTACAGCTCACATATTGCCGTCGCACACGACGACTTCATCATGCAAGCGCCACGGCGCACCTACCCCAGTGTCCATGCTATCCTGCGTCAGCCCTGGCTCGCCTCACTGCACATGCGCATCACATCGGATGCCTCATCTACACAGAGTACCGGTTTCTGCATGCACTCAAAGCCGTGGGATGTTACACAAGATACTGTCCCGTCAGCTGTGTGTAAGACGGGACGTGCCATGTTGCCCTACCATCATGCTGGAACGCTTATGCGCTTGAGCGTGGGATGAAGGCAAAGTAGCGGTGACTACGCGAGACTGCTGATTATCAAGGCTTGCTCACCGGACCATGTTGTCAGACGTGCAAGTTTTAGCAAGCTTCCTATCACGGTCCATGGGTAGCGATAGTGCTGTCAGCTGCTTAACCCAGTGGCAGACGGAAACGGAGCACGGCGACACCGTTGTCTGCGCATGTATTCGCTACTTGCCGGCAGAAGCAACACGAACGCCACGCGGATAGGGCACGATTCAAAGACGCCGATTGGCTTACACGGCTTACTGCAGGCCTTCAGTCAATAACCTCGCTGCTATGAGTCGCTGCCGTTTCCATTGAGTGTCTTGCTGGCGATGTAGGGCAGAAGCATTATCTCTGAGCGGGCTTGGATGCGAGCCTTCCCGCGACTGGCTATTTACGCACTTCAATGTTGTCGAAATATAACCGCATGACGCTTCATGGTCTCCGTCTAATGAAGCGTCGTTCCACGGCGGAAGGCGGCACTGGTACTTCCAAAAAGTCGCAGAAATAGGACGAACCACAACGGCGGGATGCTTTCCTACTGAGCAGGGAAATGCATGAGTCTGCGACACTCCGCGGCTCTTTGGTTGTGGCTAAGAAGACGTACCGGAAAGTTTGTGCGCCCTCTTTCGGGGGGGGGGGTCGTACCAGCCGCTCCATGTGCTACACCGGTCAGTGGCTTGAGGGCCATGCAAACACGCCGATCCAATCATGGTGAACATCAAGATCAAGCGCTCGTAACGGTCCACTGCGATGCTATCGGATGAGCAGAGAAGTTTCGGAGGAGTGCGCAAGCCAGGATAACAGCACGGACGAGCACTGCACTGTCATGCGAATACCACGAAGAGCGATTTGTGAAGGTTTTGAGTTCAACATTGCTAGGATACTGACAGGCCCGAACAGACCGGGAATACAATTTGAATCAGATATCCACCCACTGACTGCTATGCGATGCTAAACGTACGCTTACAGAAATTGAAAACTAGCCACTAGAAAGCTCGAAGCGCTACACAGCCACTGCTGGCAACGACGCTGGCAGGGGTACAAATTGCTTTTTGCAGCCTCGTAACGACAGATAACGCCCACCATACTGACTTTGAAGAAAGAGACGACCAAATTGAAAGAACGCCGCCAGAAATATGCGAAAATACGCTCAACGCCAAGAGCAATGCGAAAAAATGCTCGGAAGCAATGGTCATGGCCTCTTTTGGAGGAAAGAGGAAGACTTCGTGTTTGCGTGCGCAGCTCAAAGGGAGTTCTCAGTTTTGACGAGCTCGTCAAATGCATCTCGCCACCTGCGGACTTCGTCCTTGCCAGGCCTGGGGAGTGGCTTGCGAGCATATCCTCCGTAGCCGAAGTGAGCCATCAATCCGGCCTTGGTACCGATGATACCACCCTGAATGGCAGCCCAGTCGCCTCGGGCTACTATAGCCTGGAGCTTGCGGGCTTCTGCGAGCTTGCCAGCTTCAAATAGCTTGATGAGCTGGACGCATGTCTTGGGTGCGATGTTGGCCATGCCGCCAATGATACCGGAGCCACCTCCGACCAGAGTCTGCAATGTGAAGTCGACAGATCCGCCCATGCACATGAAGCCCGATCCAGGATCAGAGACAGTGGCTGCTCGGGTCGCCGCGGCGATGCGGTTCAGCTTTCCTGTGTTGCCGCAAGTCAACTTGCAACCAACAATGTTGGGATGTTGAGCCAGCTCGATGATGATATCTGAGTTGAGATCCATTCCAGAAACAGCACCGGGGTAGTTGTAGATGAGGATGGGGATGGGCGAAGCAGTGGCTACATCCTGGAAGAATTCCTTTACGGTCTCCTTCGAGAACAAGCCCTGGTAGTATGCTGGTGGAAGCACCAAGGCATAGTCTCCGCCAGCAGAGGCTGCCTCTTCGCAGAGTTCGATGCATTCCCGGGTCGACTGAGCACCACATCCAACGATTACAGGCATGTATCCAAAGCCTGCGTCATCGAGAGCTTTGCGGGTGGTGTTTGTGATAAGGTCGCGTTCCTTGTGGGAGAGATGGACAGCCTCGCCATTGGAGCCTTGAGTGGTGATACCGGCAACACCAGCTTTGGCTAGACGAACGGCGTGGCTGGCGGTAGTCTCAACGTCGACGTTATCTGAAGTTGGTTCGAAGAACGCTACAGTGGGAACGTAGATGCCAGGAACCAATGACCGCCGAATGCCAACATCAGTGAACTCCATTGAGCTGGTGTCGAAGTCGGTGTATCGGTTCATGGTATAGACAGATTGGACAGGATGGTGGAAGCCGGAATCTTGAACGAAGCTGTTTGCGGGAGAAGGTGCGTCGGTGTGCGGTGACATGATAAGAAGAGTTTGGATGTGGACGTCTAGTAGACTTTTATACTAACAAAAGCTTGCAGAGAGAAGCGGGACTTTTGACAAAGAATAAGCGGAACGCAGCAACGACGAACGGAACGAATACGTCAATGGTTGATCGATGTTTGGTAACACCCCGAGGATAGTACAGGTACTTAAATATTTTCAAACGCCGGACACTTGACCTTGTAACGGGGAGTGTGGGGGTCCAGCTGACGGCGTTGTCAGGAGTGCTAGTGACGGCAGGCAAAGCAGGGTGCGTGAATGCATCAATGAGGGATGGGCAGGCATCTTTGGTGACGACCAAAGGGGCGGTGACTCCCGCAGCCTGCTCGAGGCGCTGCTCTGCACGTAGCCGATATCAGGCACAGCTGTTTGCGCTTAGCTGTAGGGGTTGCGCGTGGCCAATAAACGCGGAGAGGATTGCTGATTGAAGCGGCGTTTGCTTTTTTGCTCACGTTGCATCAAGCGAGCAGGGGGTGAGAGGCTGTGAACATCGGATCTTGGCCGGACGTGAAGTGCAAGGGGGGCACGCCTTGTGACGATCTTTTGGAATCCTGGCTGCATGCTGATAGGATAATTCTCGCCACAGCTGGCACCATGCGAAGGGTTGGCGGGCTCGAAAGAGCGTTGATGGATACCGTTCGGGGGTGTTAGTGTGGGGGTGGGGGAATCGTGGCCGGCCTATTCGCATCATCTGATTCCGCTGAGCAACCCCGGCCACCCCGTCTTGCCCTTCGTGGTCCCAGTCGGTCCAGCCGTCGAGCTCGGCGACCACTCGGACGTGCAGTAGAGCAATGCAAAGGGTAAGAGAAAGCAAAGGATTCCAGCGGTGCTGCAAGACGTAGCAGACAGTATGGAGGAGAAGCTCGTCACAAGGCCATGCAATATCCGCACCGAGGCAGTCATCCATATCCGACCGCCGTAGGGCCACCAAAAACGGACCAAAATAGCGAACTTATCAGAGGATGCATCCCATGTCTCATCATTACAGAGCCTGGCCAGGATGACGACGCCGATCGCTCGAGGTATTTCACCCCACGCCCATTACTCTTGGTGGCGGGGTCTGGCCATAGCTCAAACCTTGAGGCTCTTCACCACAACATGTTTTCGCAAGGGCGATTGTGTACGAGTCGTGCTGTGGACACGACATTATCTGCTTCGTATATCCACCAATCCGCACATGGAAGGTGTTTGTACTGCTGTATGTGCAAGCCACGACCCAATCTTGCGTGAAAAGCAGCAAGCCGATACCACCATCATGAGCAAAAGCATCGCGGCAATGTGCCGAACGCCGTTTCGGCAACTGCAGCAGGGACGAAAGCCCTCAGCATGTTCTCGCACTTTGCTTTTGTTTCCACAACTTAGGTTCAAACGCGAGCAGGATAATGTTTGAGACGCCTCGCTCATCGTACCTGATTCTCGGTGGATCTTGGTCTGGTTGTGCCCCCACGCGATGCCGTGGCAATTCGCTTCGGCACTCAAAAACACCGCGAACTTTAATTCGCATCGTCGAGGACTTGGACTGACTTCTTTGGCCCGACACACCCTCCATGTCTCTGTTCATCCAATCGGTTCTGGTTTCAATAACCCGGAAGTGTAATCCGCGACGCTCAAGTCATGCGAAATCCACAGCCTAGCGGCACGAGGATGAAGAGTTTTACTGGCGTTGCCGTAAGCTGTATGCAGTGGTTGCGTACCTAGCGGCATTAATGGATCTCTCGACGGCATTCCCTTCTTGCAAAACACCTGTAATGTTCGCGAGGATGCACACAGCCTCGTCGCAAACCGAGCGTGAGCCGACCATGCAGCCATCAACGAGGAGACGCTATTACCCCACAAATTGGCGATCCTGGAGACTTGCTTCCCCGCCTTCTTACCACGTTCGCACAACAAGCCGCACACCTTCGACCTGCCGCTGCACCAGGCCTCTGACTTGCATGATGCCCAGTCGCTCTCACCATCACGTCTTGTGCGTCGTTGTATTGCCTCTTCATGCACTGAGGCCCTGAATTCATGCACGTAATACTGGGTACTGCCGTCTTAGATGATGCCCGAGGTTTGCGAAAGTTCAAGCCATCCGCTCATCTTGCAGGGTGTACGTCAGTGACGCCCGAATCCATCAGCATCCGCGGTCTTGTGATGATTCCCTTGAATAAATCGTATAGCTACCAGGGTACCGCTGCAGTCACAGGTATCAAGGGGTTGGTCCTGACGGTAGCTTCTTGGCCAAAATTCCTTTTCCTTCTCCACATCACGATCGTAGCCGCACATAAACGCAGCAAAAGAGCAAGGAAAATATGAAAGATCCACTCCAGCATCTGAAAAGCTCACCTCGTGCAACTTTGTCCGACATCTCGGCATCCACGCCGCACCGAATTTAGTGCTGATGAGGGGTGAGGGGTCAGCCCACACCATGCGGGTCATATGCGATTCACTGGGACCAGGCCCTCGTTCGCCTCTTCCGAGACCGATGCAGTGAGCAAGGAGTATGTGGTCTGATCGAGTTCCAGCTCTGTCTGGAAAATCCACACACAGTAACAAGTGTATGCATGGCAGTGGGCACGTCCGATACATCACCGAATACAGTACACCGTTGGACTCAACACTAGCCTCGGTTAAGAGCACCAACCGAGTAAACGATGGGTACAGTTACCGCGCGGTCTACTTTAGCTGTAGTTCGTCGATCTCTTGTCGACCGTGGGGGTCATCTGCTATTCACAGCTCATAGCAGCATGGGCTCACCGTACAACGGCAGTTGCAGCAGAGCCTGTTTGCCACGCCATGCCGTTCGTTCCTGATTCGGTCTAAAGAGCCTCAACCGATCTCACCGAGTCGATCGTGTGGGATGTCCGTACCTGGTCGCACGCCCTTCTACCTGTTATAGCCATGGGCGTGGGATGCCAAGTATATCCAGACGCTTCCGACTCAACCTCAATCCCGCAGTTGATATATTCTCGGATGCTTTTGCCTCCTCAACATTTGATCACGGTAATTGATCGGGATGTCTGAACGGTGAAGAGGTTAGTTGACTACCGATCATCCCACGTTTGACGGTCTTGAGGTTCCACGAATTGCAGGATCTGCCTGTTGCTATCTTGCAGTGTACCGATACATGTTGGGTGTCAGCGAAAGAGATGGCGTGGTCTCATCTTTACGATAGGTCTGGTCGCCGTCTCCGATTCATGAAAGCCCACGATTTACGCGCGATTTGCGACGACCGCCCGTGTCGTGTACGGTGTCCAGGCGATCTTACATTTCTCTCTGCCTAGATTTACCATAGCGAACATGGACGTCTCATGGCCATGATAGGAGGATCGAGGGTCGTTATTTCTCCATGCCCAGAGAAGGGGCTTGAAGGCTTCCAATGACGCACACACGAACAAAGAGGCAGTGTTCATGAGACATCGGGGTCATGACAGCTACTCACGCCACTAGGATGCACTGCAATCCAGGCGACGAAGGTCTAATGGGTTCGGTCGCGAGCTCGTTGAGGTAGGCGATGCGGAAGTCATTAGCAGCACCGCGCTTGCGGCGTGTACCCATAGTACGCTAAGGTCCGCACTTTACATCGCATGTCTCTCAACAATCCACAGATCCTAGCTTTTGCATTTGAATGCCTAACTCTTTCCGCGGCCACGGAGAGATGGTCTCGTCGAGTCCCAGGCAAAGTCTCCTCCTTAGAAGAATAAACTTCTGCACATTGCTTGCGTCCGCAATATGTTCCCTGAACTAACGAGGCCGCGGACTTTCGGAAAGCGGCGGAGAATGCGGCTTTCGATGCGGCCTGCACCACTCCATACGTCGCATCCTAGGATTGATTTGCTCGCGATGGTAACTCTTTTCTTCCAAACACGCATCATACGCTTTCAGAAATCTGTAACCATCAATCTCCGTCTGGCAACTCGTAACGAACTCATGCCTAGGTAGCTTACCAAGAACCCATACACCAAGACCCCGCATCAGGCCCCAGCAACAGGCGACAACCCGCGATCAATCTTCTTAACACCCTCTTCTATAGCCAAGGTAACAATCCTCGATCGCAACCCGCCGTCCTCAACAACACCCTCCCAAATCCTCCCCATGACATAACATACACCTAGTCGGACCGACAAGACCCTAGATGTTCCACCAATCCACCCCATCCCGCCAATCCAGTCACATCGGAATCTTAACCGAGACACTAGCTCAACAATTCGCTCGCTTGACCGTGTTTGAATCCCTTAGCAAAGCAACCCCAGTTCCCTTTACGCAAATCGTGGGGTAGCACACCATCATTTTGATGTCGCGCGTGTGTTGAGATCCTGATGCTTCGTACGAGGCTGTTCGCCAAGTGTTGACGCCTGCACTTTGCAGCGAGGCGGTCGTGTTCCTGCGGCGTGTGTATGCAGTTGGGAAGGGTTTACTTGATCGGGATCGAGGATCGTCGTGGTCTGGAGCTGTTTCTCCGATGTTCTCCGGTTGTTGAGTCTGTGGTTGTAGAGTGCGATATTGTGATGCAACCACGGTGGTGATCAAGCTCTAGCAAGAGCTCTGAGTATCCAATAATTCAGATCCATTGGAACCGCTATCGCAACTTCTTCGAACGCAAGATCCATTTGATACTTCCAGGTCTGAGTAGCTCTTTCGAAACGGCAGACCTCTTTCCCCATCTTCGCCATGGACGAGTCTATACGCACGCCTGCGTCTCACGCAACGGCCGTTGGCATTCACGTCATGGGAAGATCTACAGCTCTATCATCGTCCTTCACATTGCCTTCATCCGTCAACGAGGACATGTTTCACCGGAAGCATGGCATCGTGTGATGATACATCGTTCCTTCCGTTCCCAGCGACGAGCCCACATCCATCCCGCTTCCCCGTAAATGCTCCGGCTCGGCTCGCCGCAACCAAATACCTCGACTACAGCAATTGCAACGGCAAAAGCCGGTGTGCAATGGCATGCTCGCGATAAGCAGAGATCTCTCATGAACACGGACGACTTGTCATATTGCGCTGACAGCATGAGACTGCGCGATAACGACGAAACATGCGACGAAGCTGATGAGCCACATAGTCATTCTCCGCATGAATAGTTGTCTGGCTAACGAAGAAGACAACAACACTGACTGACAATCAGTAAGCGGCCAGCTCCTGGAAGGCTTGACGTAGTTCATCGGTCCCTAGGTACGCTCGTCAAGAGACATGATGAGTGATATGACGATAACGATTTCTATCACACTCGGCGCAACGTCATCTACTGTCAGCACATCACCCACGCGAATGAAAGGCTTATGCCGGTAAACAGACCTAGTACCCTGACCGGGGAAGCGGCAGCGGTGCAAGCATCACCATCGAGACCCGCTTAGACACTCGCCCATTTAGGAAACTCACGATACCCCCATCTCACCGTCTCCCACGCCGTCGTGCGTTGTGGAAAGTCGCGCGACGATATATTATCCCCCTCCGTCTAGATCCGACCACGCCCTCACAAAGCGCAGATCATATGCACAAGTCAACGTGCATATCCCTCGCACCTGCCACCAACCCTCCCTTCGCAACCAGGAACGTGCATCTTCCACGACCACGCGTCCCGGAAAGTTCCTTTTTTCTCGTTGGAAAGTGCGTTAAACGGGACGCGGCGGGTGACGAACGATGACGACGATGGAAGTCGTCATGTTGGGGCGTGGGTGGTGCCGAGATGAGACCGTACCGTTTTTGTGCAGATCGTGGGTTTGCAGGGAACCTTTTGTGACAAGGGAGCGAGCATCGTGTTTCGAGGGCTCCAGTGTGGTGGTAATGATTTGTAATGGGGTGTAGTAAAGTGATGTACTCAGTAAGCTGAGCGTGTATGGGGATAGTGCACTCAACGTCATGTGTGTCTGATTTTGAACGATGATTTTATTGTGATTTCTTCGACTTGTTGAGAATGCGCTCGTACGAGTATGTTCCTGAATCTATATACAATTGTGCATGAGTAGGCATATCATCTAATCTCATTTCCATCGTCTCACATATCTATCTAGCAGGTGGTGTTGCCAGTCTGGGTCAACAGACCCAGGTTCCACGGCAGCGCGTTGTAGCTCCCGGTCGCCTGAGGATCGATACCCTGGTACAAGAACCTCATACCACACGGCTTGATCGAGAGCGTCTGGTCAACCTGAGACCTAATCAACTCTCCATGGCTAATACTGTCCGACCACCTGTTTCCATTGGCAAACTCGACATTCGCCTCACCCATGAAGGGGTTCTGCTGGGTAGCGGCAAGCGGCTTCCACTCGTCGGCCTCGAGCGAGGAAGAAGTCCAGGAGCGGAAGTAACGTAGGCCACCGGGGGAATCTCCTTGACCGATGCACTCGACAAGTAGGAGGTAGGTGCTGTTGTCGACGCGGTACACAGTGGCCGCTTCGAAGAGGTCGTTCTTGTTGGGCTCTGAGAGGGTGATGACAGGCTCGCTCATTCCAGCAGGGAACTGGGCAACGGTCGTTTGGCTGCGGTAGAGGCGGCCGTTGTCATCGTGGGAGAAGAGATGGCAGTTGGCTTCGTCGCATACGACCCACATGTCGACCCAGTAGCCTTGCTGAGGGGTGAGAAGGCCCTCTGCAATGAGAGCGGGGGTGCCGTTGGGGTAGAAGACTTCCGGAGCAGACCAGCCTGCAGGGTTGGAGATGTCTGGGTTGGTGCTGTATGCAGCATTGCCGTTCTGGTAGACAAGGTACCAGAGCTTTTGGGGAGCAAAGTAGACTTCGAAGTGTTAGCTGGGGACTCTCTCTATTCTCATCCTGTATGGATTTGAAAGAATGCTTTACTTACAAACTTCAGGTGCAGCCCTGTAGCCGGTACCGATGGCGCTCTGGTCAAGATAGTAGAATGGCGCCTCTTGTGCCTTGTCGAAGTCGGTGAAATTAAAGTACATCAGGTTGTAGCCCTCCTCTTTTGCTGTACTGGCAAAGACATGGTATACGCCCTCATACTCGATGATTGAGGGGTCTTTGATACCAGCGAGGTTGCGACCATCGTTCTTGGGCCTGACTAGGATGTCGCTCGATGTCCAGCTGAAAGTGCTGGGAAGGCCTCCGTTCTGCCTGGCAGCCAACGAACGGTGAGGGACTGTTCGAGCCAATGCTGTGGCTACGAGAGCAGCGCCAGCGAGGAGGATGGAACGCATTGTGGTGGTAGGTGCTTGACAACGGTAGCTACCGAGTTCCTACTGCGGACTACTCGTTCTTATATAGTCGTTTTTTACCTGATTCCACCAAGCCCGTCGTGTGGAGCCGAAAGCTGGGGAAAATGTTCATTGACCGGGGTTCGTAGAGGTGCAATCTATCTGGGGTAACGGCCATCTTGGTTTTTCCGTCTACCTTTCCTTAACCATTCGTTCGTGCCTGTTCGTGATGGGCACTAGCATCTGTTTTAGGCTGTTTGCCTAGTGCGTAAATGTAAACGAGCAGATCGGCCACGTCTTTCTCGACCCGTACCGTCGATTCGTCATTTGCACCCTGGAGCGTGTTCCGAGCGAAGCAATATGAGGTGGCAACGCTGTGTTTCTTTCACACTAAAAACATGGTGGCTGCGATCATCGAATCCCGCAGAGTCGCCTTTGAAATCTTGGGCCACCGGGTCGATCATGGCATCCGGAGACAGATAGGTTTTCGGCGAAGGTCCGATCACGTGGCCATAGAGCCGCAGTTCATCCGGTGGTTAACGACAGCTTGTCGTCTTGTCGTCTTGATGCCAGATGGCAATAATTCCGCCTACCACAACGCAGCTTCGGAGAAGAGCACAGGCAAAAATCGAGCTAAAGTCGTAAACGCGTCCTCGTGAGCGATGCGTTCGTGTAGAACGACCGTGACCGGATCCAAGAAGCTTGGAGGCAGGCGGGGGCAGCGCCATGCCTAATCCGTCTCACCATGTCGCGTCGCTTGCACGTGCATCTCCTTTTCGCGATAGCAATCCTGAATTCAGTACTCTCTGCGATGCCGACCGCCCGGCTTTCCAAATCAGTTATGAAGCCGTAATTACGTGCTACAATTTCCGAACGCATCAACATCCAGCAGCGAGGAGTAACGCATTGCCTATCGCGAACACCAAAGAAAGGCTGTAGCAAGAGCCTGTATGATTGATTTTTGCGAATTCATATCTGAACACAAGATCACGACCGTCGTTACCATGTCGGCCGAAACAGCTACGTCGCAGAGCGCAAGCGCAGCCTCTAGTTACGACCGCGATGCTATGATAGCAAGCATCACCCGATACTATGAACTCCTTTCAAAGACAGTATCGATCAAACCGGCAGACATCGGATACGCTCGAAAAGGAGGGCGCTCCGATAAGAGCATTCCGCTTTCGAAGCTCCGTCGACTCGGTTTCAACGATCGAATGATTGACTTCATCCGCCACGTACCATTCTGTCACAGCAACCATAGGCCCGTCTTTCCAGATACAACCACACTTAATTATTACCCGCACCTTTTTTACTATCCCGAGGAAGATTACAAGCTCGAAGATGCTGATATGACGGGAATGTGGCCGATTGAAGATTCAAGGATACCCGAGGGTATCATCCCACTGTCGGTTCCTCTGGAGGGAAGCTCTCTGGGAACGTGGTGGATGCTGGATATCAACAATGGTAAGTAATATGACGACGACAAAGATAGACAGTCGGCATCAGTCCTAGTCCGCAGTTTCGCTTCGTTTTTGACTCAGCGTTTCATCTTAGGCGAATTGACTGCTCGTGGCCCGTACATTACGAGGCCACCAGAGGAAGTCCCGGAAGACGAAGAATGGCGTTCGTCTCGACCCGTGCCTGCGGTCGCCTATTTCGACGGCTTGTGTCAAGATCTGATATCGCTCCAGATGATACCGCTGCCACACCCTTTTGATCACTGGACAATATAGGAAGCTCGAGATGATAAGATATACGCCTCCGATACCTTCATGTCATGGGCAAAAGTGAGTTTACACGATTCTACCATACACTTTGTCTCCCCCCACCTCCCCTCGCTTGTGCTATTCTCACCGAATGTCTACAAGACTGGATGGATTAACGCGACACCAGGAAGCTAGGGCTATCTATCGACAATGCCACTGGCCCGATTTGCGCTACTTCCAGCGCGCAAAGTGCCGAAGGCTTCTACTTGAGATGCTAGCAAGATATGATGCACATCAAGAGGAGTTTTACAAGGAGAGGAAACGGCAACAGCAATTGGCGTCCGGAGAAGAGTCTGTAGAAAGAGTGCCGACGCCACCAGTTCCAAAACCAGAGAGCCCGCCCAGGAAAGCGCCGTGGGGGACAGAAAGTATTGAGGTACAGACAGATTCAGATGGGATGTTCGTTACTACTACGTTCGAGATGTAAGATAGCGAAGAGGTCTTGCATCTCTAACTAGCAACCATCGAGACCTCCACCTCCTCCCCTCCGCCTCCCCCACCCGCCTTAGTGTAGGTGTCTAGCTAGCGCGACCTTCAAAAACCCATGCCTATCAATCTTTCATCATGCGCTTCCCAGCGCGGGTATATATACGTGAAACTCCGAATAAAGCACTTTCTCCCGCCCCATCCAAAACCAAAACAAAAGAGAGAAACAAGGACCAAAAAACTAAAACCAACTTCACCCATCCACCCATCCACCTCAACTCTCCGCCTTCATACTCCCACAACAACTACAAGTCCACCACTCCCTCTCCATAAAAGTCCCACAAACCAAACAATTCCAGCCCAACCTGCCCCTCGCAGGTTCAAACGGCGTCGTCACCTCCCCTCCCCCCTGCCTCCTCAGATCCGTTCTCGGAGGCGGCCGGGGCAAGTTGGGTATGGAGGAAGAAGAGGAGGAGGAAGAGGCGAAGCGTCGGTGTTCAGGAATGGGTTGGGGTGGTTGTTCGGTGGTGCAGATGGAGCAGGCGAGGTGGGCGAGGGGGTTGTCGAGGGTGCAAGTGGGGCAAGACCAGTGGTCTGGGGGAGGGATATGTGGGGTTTCCTGGGATGGAGGGAGGGGTTGAAGGGGAGGATCAGGTGTTGATGAGGGTAGGGGTGTTGGAGGGAGAGTCTTGTTTCGTCGTTGGTCTTCCCCGTGGGGATGGAAGTTTGATGGTGTTCGTGAGGAAGAAGAGGATTTAGGATTCGAAGGTCGCGATGATGATTGGGTGACGAGTCGGGATATGGGTCTTTCTTGTGGTGTTTGTGCCATGCTGCGTATAGGCCGAGCTTTCTTTGACGGTTCATTCTCTGGATGTTCAGGCATGTAATAACCGCCCTTCCCATTAGATTTCCAAGCCGAGTCGCGTTCGTCATTAAGTTGGACACCATTTTTGTCATAGTACCCTCCTGGCTGTGTAGTGCTACTTCCTGGCGGACGGGGAGGTTGAGCAGGGTAATTGTCGACGGACAACCCGTTCTCTGGATCCCAGGCTAGACCGCCGTTTCCTGTTGGCGCACCTAACCTCTGCATTTCCTCTTGGTACATGAGATCTTGCAGGGCTTGCGCGATGGCCCAGTCATTTGCGTCGTCTTGTTCTGCAGTCGTTCGGAATCCATTTTGGGCTTGTTGGTCGACCAATGTTCCAGCGTTTGCAGTCCCGCTCGCGCAGCCGTCGGTGATGCTGATTCTACGTGACGCTGCATCGGCAATGACCTTGCGCATATCGACGCCGCGTTGTACAGGGCGTGATCCGCCTAAGCGATGTCCTCCGTTACTGGGTTTAGTCGCAGCGTATCGCTTTTCAGCAGCCTTCCTGGCATTGCGGCGCATCTCGTCAAGTGGAACTCGTTGACCACCCAGTTTTTTGCCTTGTCCTAGGAAGCCTTCGCCAGTATAGCCTTTCATGAGAAGGGTCTGGTGTTCGTCGCGGAGCTCATTCCAAAGGTTGTGGAAGTTGCCGTCGTGGGGGCCAAACACGATGTGGCAAAGTTCGTGTAGTAATGTGTCCATGATTTCTTCAAAGGGTAGGAATTGTCTGGCGTCATAGTGATACCTCATGCGGACGAGAATCCTTTCTGTGCGATTTACATTAAGACCTTGAGAAGTTAGTAAACTTTCCAGTCATGAACTTTGAGATTTTACCTAGTAGTCGAGCCGATTCGGGCAGAAATTCGCATAGTGTTCTGACTTTCCAGCCGCGCTTCCTCATAATCGGCTTCACCATGGAAGCTGCCTTGCGAAGCATGTGCAACGCCTCTTTCTCCCTAGGCAGATGCTTCAAATGCTCGTAGGCATCGAAATGCGCGTCGATCTCTTTCATGGTTGGGTTGTGTGAGAGGATACGTGCGCGTTACGTGGTAGATCAACTTGGTGTAGTTGGGAGTTGCAGTAAATGACTCAGTGGATCGGATATAGGCGCGGCCAACTTTGCACAGAAGATATAGGAACCTGGTGGCAGAGCCGTGAAGGAAAGTGAAAAGTAAAGAAAGATTGAAGAAAGAGGCGAAGGACGAGGCCAGCCACGTAAGCACTTCACGCGGCCTTTGCTGCTCGACGATGGCAAGGCCAGGTCGTTGATTAAACGACTTCACTCAGACAAAGTAATAACTCGCTGCTATTGTAAACAAGGTAAAGGGCGATCGTCTGCAGGGTCAGCAAGCGCGCATATTTTGTGGGAAGATCTGATGCTAATGTTAGACTTGACCGAGAGAGTGGCGCAACAGCTCAGAGGCCGGTTGTGCCTCTCACGTGCGACCGTGTGCGGATCCCGTTCCGCGAGTCAGTGCCTGACGTAGTGGACTGGCGGAGTCGTCACACTTAGCTGTCAAAGACTTTGAACCTGGGAGCATCGCACGCTGTCAAGTCGTATGATTCACTGGTACATCGCTCCTCTGTAAGACATGTCAAACGACGACCAGCAGATTCTGGGCGTGGTGAGTAAGACAACGCACTTTGGCTCTGCGCCTCGCTGACGTGGGTGAAGCTCTCCGAGTACACGAAAGACGTCCGCAACTTCACGGGATCGATATGGGACGCCACTGATGCGCATTTTGCGCATGTCGCCGGATACATTAAGAAGAGCCTCCCCGAAGGATGGCTGCCAGAACGCGCTCGACCGCGCCCGCCACCGCCGCCCCCGCATCCCATCACCGGTGCCTACCTGCATCGCCTGCAAGACTGGGTGTCGCGAAATCGGGCTTTGACGGCAGCCATCGTCGCCTTTGTCGGCACTGGGAGTTTCCTAGTATGGAGAGAACAGAAGAAATATAACCGCAAGCGAAGAGTGCGGCGAGCGAGCAATGGGGCAAGAACAGAGGTCGTTGGTGAGTGCTTGAGGAAGGCGCGAGGCAGTGGCTCTGACTAACACCAACAGTTCTTGCTGGACCACCCAACTCGCCCATCGTCCGATCGCTGGCCCTTGATCTCGAACGACGCGGCTTTATTGTATACATTGTGTGCTCTACCATGGACGAAGAGCAGCAGGTACTTAGCGAATCAAGAGCAGACGTGCGGCCGCTGCACTTGGATGTTGTGGACACGATGGGCACAAAACAGGCCATTCAGAACTTCAACGAGCTCCTTGTGAAACCGCACGTCGCTGTCCCGGGGACGAGCCCGCACAACCTCAATCTTAGCGGTGTCATACTGGTGCCAGACCTCATCTACCCTACCGGGCCTGTAGAAAGGGTGACCCCCGAGCTTTGGTCAGACGCGCTGAATGCCAAAGTACTCAACACCATCGCCGTGACCCAAGCGCTCCTGCCGACCGTCTGTGAGTTCAAATCCAGGGTCCTAATGCTTACGCCCAGCATCATTGCGTCACTACGGCCGCCATTCCATAGCGTAGAGACTGCGATCGTGAGTGCACTCGAGGGGTTCCTGGCATCACTCAGGGCGGAACTGGGAACCCTTGGCATTGAAGTTTTGCAATTTCATCTGGGAACTTTCGATCTCACAAACGTGGGTCCGAAACATCATCTGCAGACCAGAGGGCTTGGGAGCCCACACGCTTGGCCAGCAACTACCAGAGCGCTGTATGCCAACAACTTCGAAGCGCAAACGCGTGTCGCGCAGAACCGGGGGTTGTTAAATCACAGCGGCTCAAGTCTTCGGGAATTGCACAACGGCGTATTCGATGCACTCACGCAGAAGCGGCCAAGGAAGGTATGGCGCGTCGGGCGTGGTAGTGTGACATACGATCTGGTGGGCAATTGGGTGCCGGCTGGGATTGTTGGGTGGATGATGGGGTTAAAACGTGTGTCCCTGGACACAGCGTCCGAGCCGAAGCTAGAGGATAGCGTGCAACTGCAGTCGTGGGAGAGGATCGATGCGATCGCCTAGACGATGGACCCCAGAACCTAGACAACAAGTCGACGATGTGGAGAACTACTAAGATGATCACGATGCGCAACGTCATAGACGGACTGTGCCTGCGGGAGTGCGTGGCATCGGCGTGACCTGAAGATCGCGCCCGGCGCTGCAAGATCACGAGATTGAGATGGTGTATTGGCCCAAGGACGGGCACGCAGGGCGAGCGTAGTGGCAGATGGCATCACGTAAAAGACCCTGAGCCCCTTGCCGGCACGGGTCTCAGCGAGTGTTCCCTGCATGGTTAGATTTGCAGGCACGCAGAGAATCCAGTCGACGAGCAGTATATAGCCACGGCGATATAGGCAGAAACAGCACGCTCTTGACGTGAAGCGTTGCAGGAACAGTGGTTCGCAGGACGGGCAGCAGTTAAATGAGCAAAAGTCTGGAACATGTTCCGCTCCACAAGTGCCATGAGCAAATGAAGTGACGCGAAGCATGTGCCACCCTATTGACGGCCAGCGCCCGAAACGGAGGCAGGCCGAGAGGGGAATACGGATGGCGTGCGGATAGACTAGTGAAACGGCACTGGGGGAGGTAATGGAGGAGGCAGCTCGAGGCGATGGTGTACATGATAGCAAGTGGGTGAAGGAAATGAGAGTTTGGTAGCTGGGAGCATGGAGATGTGAAAAGCAATGGCATTGTCAGCCCGCGAGAGATGAGTGTGCATGCGTGCGTGCATCGAGTGGCTGCGTGTCAGGGCGACGGCGCGGTGGGTCAACGTCGTCGCGATGCAGGGCCGACTGGTGGTAGCGGACCCTATTGGCGAGCAGGGAGCATCCCCGGCCCACCTGAGGTTTCAGGAGGTGTAGGTTTAGCTATTCTTGCACGCGAGGCAGCATAGAACATCGCGACGCCCCAGACACTGCTCAGGGCCTGCAGTCCATCACTGATCTCTCGACGCTTGCTGTCGTATCCGCTCCTTCGCGCTGCTTTCATTCTTCATGGTGCCGATTGCATCCACGCCCTCCCAAAATACCCCCCATACCACCCACCGCTCTTATCACGGCTGCTTTTCCCGCACGCGCTGCTCAGCCCCGTGTCTCCCGCATTCATCCCTCCAGGCGGCTTCGACGGCTTCTTTTGCCCGGTCGCGCGCATGACGGCCCAGCGTCATCAATCTTCCGCCGCACATTCCATGAACCACTAGCCCGCCTGCCACTTCCTTCACCATGGCAAACCGCACCCAACGCCCGGGCGGCCTCGACTTCCGCTCTCAGTCCTTCGACCCTCCCACAACCGCCAACTCGCTCACCTCCAACCACCTCGGCCTCGGAAACCTCGCCAGCGCCAGCATGAGCAATCTGTCCCTCGGCTCCGACCTGCCCAGCCCGCGCACCGGCGAAGCGCCGCCCGCCCTCTCCCCTCTGGACGCCCTCGCCCTCCAGGGCCGCCTGCTCGCGAAGCGCTTCGAGCAGCAGGACAAGACGGGCCGCCGCCTCAGTCGCCTCGCGCCCCTCACCATCCAGAACGAGTTCGGCAACCGCGGCGGCTACTTCTCGTCCCTCTCCAACTCGACCGTCAACTCGCCCAACGAAGATGCAGGCCCCGTCCGCTCCCCGCGCCCCGAGGCCTCGCCCCGCCAGGAGATATCGTCCGACAAGCGACACCAGTCCTACTACCCGCAGTTTGGCATGGACGAGCCCGAGCCCCAGTATGCCATTGGGCCGCTGCAGAGTCCCATGGCCACCATCGCTGAGGCCAGCCCTGCGACGCCTCCCCAGAGCTACTTCGACATCCCCAGGTCGCGCTCCCCCGATTCGGTAGAGCCGCACATCGGACTGCGCGAGGCCACGCCCGTCAGTCCCCATCTCCCGGCCGCTCCTACCTCCCACATGTTCCTCAGCCCGCAGAGGAAGCGCTCTGGCGACTCGCAGCATTCCCAGCACTCGCAACAATCGCAGCCCCGCTCGGCACCACGCTCCAACCTGCTCCCGCCGCGCTCGTCCAGCTCTCTGCACTCGAACCGCTCACCGAGCATCCGCTCCGCCGCTGGCGCATACGACGATGTCGAGGACATGTCTCTCAGCGGATCCTACGACTCCCTGCACCAGACGCGCAACCTGTCTCCCAGCTCCAGCCTGTCGAGAGCCCAGTCTCCCTTCACGCCTGCCACCGGTCCTACCATGATTCCCCGATCACCGTCAGCTGCGTCCAACTACTCGGTCGATGGCGGCAGTCTCCCGCGCCCTGCCTACAACTTCTCAAGACCCAACTTCTCACGCCCCACAAGCCGGCAGAGCGTGCGTCCGTCATTGGACGTAAGGTCAGATGCCGGACCCTCGCGACAGCCGTCTGAGGAGAGCGTAAACATGAGGCCCTCCTTCGACGACCAGCTCCGCCGACAGGACTCTAACGATATCCCTACTGCTCACTACGCCAACGAGCAGGTCCACACTCCCGTCAGCATGGTAAGCGAGGACTTCCGCCGGTCCGGCGAGTTCGGCAACAACCCAGCCCCGTCCTACACATACACCAGGTTCAACCTCCCTCGCGGCAGGGCCGTCGACCGCAAGTCTGTCGGCATTGAGGACTTTTTCAAACGCGAGATCAAATGGGACCAGCCTGGAGGCCAGCCTAACCAGACTCAGGCGCGACCTCCTTCACCCGAATCACCGCCTCGTTCTTTCGACCAAACACGCCAGCAACAGCCACAAGCCAGGCGGGATGCCTCCTTCGACCACGGTACCCCGTCCCTCACATCCAGCAACAGCACTATCCGCGCGCGGACAGCCGGGTCTGTTGGGGAAGTCACAGCGCAGCAGCACTGCGACATGGGACTGGAGCTTCACGAAGCTGGTGAACTACTCAAGTCCACCTATCACCTTCGACTCGCAGCTCGCGCTGGTCTTCCAGAAGCCATGTTCTGGTATGGCCTCGCTTGCCGTCACGGCTGGGGCATGCGTGAGAACAAGTCTGAAGCATTGCAATGGCTACGCCGCGCCGTTGACTCCGGTCAGCTGGAAGTAGCCGACGATGAGGACCAATCCAAGCACGGGCAGCCGACCGACCTCACCAAGAAGAAGCGCCACCGCGCTCAATACGCTGTAGCCATCTACGAGCTTGGCAAATGCTACGGAAACGGCTGGGGTGCCCCTCAAGACAAGTCCCTCGCACTGCGATGCTACGAGATCGCTGGAAACTGGGGTGACGCCGATGCTCTCGTCGAAGCCGGCTACTGCTATGCCGAAGGCGTCGGCTGCAAGAAGAACATGAAGAAGGCAGCCAAGTTCTATCGCGCAGCCGAAGCCAAGGGCGTCAGCATGGTGGGCAACAGCTGGATCTACAAAGACAAATACATGGACGACGGCTCCACCACCTCGGACGAGCGCTCTGTCCGATCAGGTCGTTCCGCTACCAAAGACCACTCCAAAGACAAGAAGGCTCGCGACAAAAGCAGGACTCGCACCATCTTTGGCCGCAAGAAGAGCGCGGCTGAACCTCTCCCTCCTATGGCTTGATCCCACCACCATCTCGCCTTGTACATGTGTCCACGAACCTTTCCTTTCACAATCTCTTCTCGCGCACGGCGTCTGGGTTTAAGCATATGCTTTGGAGGTCAAAACATTTTGCCTTTCGAATACCCCATATTAACGAAATCACCTTTGCCCGGCGCATAGGCTTGGCCGCCCTTACTCTTTACTTTGGCCACCCCGCGCTTCAGCGACATTACCTGTTTTGGACCACCGCCTTTTTGATCGAATATCTTCGACATGTCGATGTACCACCTACCTTTCCTTTTTGTCGTCTCTCAGGGTTCGGTTTTCCATTCGTTTCCTTTGTTTATACCATTGTGCGTTTGTGCGGTGTGCCCATGGGCCGCCCATTTCCTTTCCTTTTCCTTTATCTTGATTGGACTCTCGAAGAAGTTCATGTGTACGTAAAGTCTAATTTACCGGTACTGGTGTACCTGGGCTGGGCTAGGCTAGGGTTGGCAAAGAGGAAAGCTCTCTCATCTCTGACGTTGGAAGACAGTGTCATTTCTCTCTATCTGGGTCACGGCTGCTTTTCCATTGTTTGGCCAAGAAAAAGGGATTCGGGATTACTAAAGGCTGTGAATAGTTTGGGCTTTTCCTCTGTTGATATCCCCGAGCTGTAGCTAGCTAGCAAGCAAAGTCTCTTCCTTCATACCTGATGATGGGTGTGTGGAAGGGAGGAAATTGAAAGTTGAAGATGTATAACTACGCTTACACTTTTGGCTGGTGATTGTGTTGATGACTTTGATGTTGATACAAGTCGATACAAGTGATGCTCTGCGAACATGCACAGCTTGGGCAGCAATCGGGCTGAAAGTCGTGCCTGCTCGTTTGACCGGCGCGACTTCCGTCATCGCATCCTCATCCGACGTTTCCTTCTGGGTGGGTGGGGGAGGCGGAGGGGAGGCGGAGGGGAGGAGGTGGGGTGGTGGTGGAGGTTTCTTCTCTTTCCCTGTTGTGTATGTCTGTGTAGGTATGCGGACCAGGCGAAGCTCTGAGGTGTGGCATCCACCCATAAGAATAGAGTGCGCCTTTGAATCAAACTGCGGTCTGGTCCTGATCCGGGCTGGTCATTGAGATTGTGCTTTGGTATACGGTATGATTGCGATAGCTTTGATGCTGTTCACTGGAGTGATGTCTGGTGCATACTGAATATGCCAAACATAGCAGCAATGTTTGTGTTCAAGATGGCATACGCATGTCGATCCGCATCAGCCAAGGACACAGGCTCCGCAACGAACGAGAGAGCACGTACTCGGAATGATGGTGTTTACACGTGGATTCAAGCTACGTTGTTCATGACTTCGTGTGGCAGCCCGAAAAAAGTGAAGGTAGAGTGTTTGTGGAGCGGGTGGGTGCCCGATGTCGCATCTCGGTGTTGCCGACTATTGAGTACTTGATAAGTTCTTCCACCCAAGGCATTTTGTACATCAAGCCTTGCCTTCGTCTTCAAGAAATCCATCCCAAAGTAATGTGAGGGTTCTGCACGTGGTCTTTCGTGGTCTGGGCGCGATCGATTGGCTCTCTTCGAGCTTCTGCCTCCACTTCACATCTTCTTGGTCACTGTGACAACCAGCCCTCGCTTTACACCCCATGCACACAGCTTAGCGACCCGTCTACTAATTCCAGACGATCTCCTTTTTCTCTGCGATCTTACGGCTCTCTCGTCAATGTCAATCCCACTATGCCTTCACTAAAGGACCTCAATTGCGTCATCGAGCTATCCGGGAGCCAACAAGCATTGCGAGAGTTCGGCACCATATACGGCGACGGCTTCGTAGAAACTTTCGTTCCCGTACCCAGCAAGCCACAGTCTTTCTCCATCCACCTCACCTCCAACAAGTTCATTGCTCCGGGCGTCGCCATCTTCGTCTACGTCGACGGCGTCTACCAGTGCAACCGCAATCGGCAGGACTTGAAGCTACGTAAGCCTTCCGATAGTCGCTCTCTCGTCGACTTCCGTGTACGTCAGAAGGAAGAAAGGCAAAAAGATGGGTCGATGATCGCGAGGGAGTGGGCTTTCGATAAGCTTAACATTGGCAAGTTTTGGGAGGACCTTACAGAATTGCAACCCGCTAACCAGTCACAGCTTCAGCGGACGATGCACCGAATCTTTGTTCGCCAAACATCCTCGAAAATATTGGCTGCATCGAAGTCGTCGTTTTACGATGTGCTGGTACGCGCAATGCCAAATCTGCCTCAACGATAAACTTTGATGGAGCAGGAGACTTCCCCGATCACCGGTTCGGCATAGACGATAGCTCATCTCCATCAAACGAAAGATCTATGTACGATGACCGCGGCCCATCCTTCAGCAACTTGGGTAATAGCCAGGGCCCACCCCCACCGATTCCGTCCTATCGATCACCATATGCCGAGACGCTACGTAGCCCTCAAGGCTCTACATCGAGAACCCACCGCACTGCATACAACCCTCAAGAGTTGTTCCCTCCGGCGGCCATCGTGAACCACTCGCGGCCACATTCCAGATACTCAGAGCCTATCAGCCCGGGAGCGCGGCGCACCAATGACCTTCCCCCGTCAGGTTTCCAGTATGGCAGCGGCCCTATTCCACGCGATGGAGAACCATATAACACTCAACCCCCTACTATTGTAGGGACACAACCTTCCATTGTTGATCCAACGTGGTTGAATAACCTCCTCACCACGGCAGTGAAGCAAGGAGTGGAAGAGTCAAGACGGATGGACACACAGTCAGAAGGGCAGGCGAAGTACAAAGAAACACATATTGATGCAAAGTCTGCAAGTCAACCACCAGGTGCATGGCCTGAATCTCCTTTCGATCCCCCAAATCAACCATATCAACACATAGAGCAGCCGGCTTTCTCCTCACGAGATCACCAGAGTGAGCACAGTTCAAACTGGGCCAAGTCACAGCCTGGCTGGGGCGAACGACCTCCACGAAGTAGAGCAGGGACCCAAGTTACCTGGAACGCCGAGCCTGTTTTCGAGACCGACTCCTCCAGTGCCGGATGGAGCGCGCGGGAAGACACCCCATCCGATGCCTGGGACACTGGAGATACTTGGCCGACCGACAAGGCAGCTGAATGGGACGCCTCCAGCCAACAGGGCAAACTATGGGTGACTAATCCTCCTAGTCACTATCATCTGAGGTCGAGCTCCCCAGTCACTCTTCCTAAACACGATCGACAGCGCTCGAAGCACGAAACGAAACAAAGTTCACGCTGGAGATCGCGGTCAAGACGTTCACGCCGAGATCGAGAAATGACTTCTTCAGAAGAAGATAACGGAAGCTGGGATCGTCTCGAGCGGCCTTCAGACTCTGTGGTCTCGCTGAGTAGCTTTGACGCTACTCTCCAGCCATCGCGTTCTCACAGTAGGATACAGCCCTCACGACGGAGATCCAAGAGCCGTTCTCGGCTTTCCAATTCGGTACAGCGCGATCATGAGCGAAAGCCATCGAAGCATTCCCATCGTCATCCGTCTTCGAGGCCTGCGTATGAAGTTCCAGCCGCTGGGACTGCGCCATCGGTCATCACGCGAATGACGCCGACTGTGATGAACGCTCCTGCTGCTGTCACCCCAGAACAGGTACGATCACGGCAGCCTAGTGTCTATCCTGGCCCACCAGCTTCTGTAATGCCTACTCAAGAGTGGGGCGCTGCTGTCCATGAGACGATGAGAAAGCCTAGCAACGTTCCGAGTAACATATTTCCAGCCCCATACGCATCGTCGATGAAGGGCTTTGTTCAGAGTACGGCGGGTGAGAAAGTAGGAGGTGGGCAATCACCTTCGGCTGTGTCTTGGGGTAGCGGTAAGAAAGATCACACTGTCAAGGCTTCTTGGGGCAAGGAACTTAAGAAGGATACCGGTTGGGGTATCAGCAGTGACAACGGTTGGCAAGAGAAGAACCTTAAGGGGGACGACAAAAAGGGCTGGTACTCAACCGATGATGATCAGGCCGGAGGCTTGAACGAGGCCGATGACAACAAGAAGATCCAGGCGGACAGTGACTGGAACAGGAAAGACAACGGCTGGGGCAACCCCCCATCATCTCCAAAACAAGAGCGAGTCGACAAGATGAACGACTGGGCCGGTCTCAAATCCGCCTTGACATCCGCTTTTGCCAACCCACCAGCCCCAGCCCGAGCCCCAGCACCAGAAGTCCCCTGGCGAAACCAAGCATGGAATTTCCCCGCCGACAATGCCGTACAGCCCACTATCCAACAACCCGCTATCACACCTTTTAATTCCGCCCCAGCACAAGTACCTGATGGGGTCGATCCGCCCAACCGACGCATGAGCAACAAAACCCTCTCTCGATACCGTCCCAATCATAACTTCCCCTCCCGCATCATTCCCAAACCCACGCCAAAGTTTACAGCGCAACCGCACTGGCAGTTCCCTCCTCCTCCTTCTACTTCCACATCCAAGAACGTGCTGCACGCCGACAACCCGAACGATACATACATCGCACCCGCAGAACCGCGCCTCACCATCAGCAAATCCGCGTCCAGCAAGAGCGGTATCGAACACGCCGTCCGCGCGGGTAAAGCGACAGAGTACGGTCATGTAGTTGGTCGACCTGAGTATCTAGATCGTTTAGAGAAGCCGTATGCGGTGTTTCGGTTTAAGTATCGGAGTGAGGGGGTACTGAAAGGACTGGGTGTACTTGATGAGGGGGATATGGACGTTGCTAGAGATGGGGAGAAGGAGAACCAGAAGGTAGAGAAGTTGAAGCGTGTGCCGCAGGAGGAGCTCATCGCGAAGATGTTGGCTTTGGAGAGAAAGTTGAAGGGTAAAGATGATGGAGAGGGTACTACTGGTGGGGGGAAGGAGAGGAAACACAGTAAGAAGAGCATCGACAAGGAGAAACAGAAGTCGAAGCAGAGGCGGTCGAGTGAGAAAAAGGATGCGCATGGCGACGGCCGGGTTAAGGACTTTACGGAGCAGTGGGTTGAGCGGCATTCGAGAGACCCGAGTACAAAGGCGAAGAGTGCGGTTGCTAAGGATGTGGGTTGGGAGGGGAATAAGGAGAGGAAGGAGAAGGAAGTAGTGGGAACGTGGGGACAGGATGTGAATGAGGGATGGGGAGGTGGAGATGTGACATGGTAGAATCGAACTAGCTGATCAATGTTCGAATTGATCAAAGGAGGAAGTCTGATGTGTAAGTGTATTTTGTACGTATAGACATCGATATAGATAGACAAGACAACATTATTGTCAGCTTTAGCTACTACCCCTCTCTCCCCACGATCAAAACTTAGCGAGTTCATCCTCACTCCCCTCTCCATCGACATCCACCCATCTCCGTTTCCTCACTTCTAACCCCCCTAAACTCCTTCTTTTTGCCGCACTCTCCTTCGCCGGCGTGCCCTTCCTCGTCCATTCCCTCTTGATCTGTTTGTGGAATGCTTTTCGATCGGCTTTCGATGTGGATTTGCTGCCTTTGTCACTACTGCCGTCGGCATTGCGGATCTTGGGGGTTTGGTATGTGGTTGAGGGGACAGCGGTTCGTGGGGTGGCTGGGTCGTGGTTCCGGTTCAGAGATGGAGTTGTTGGGTTGGGTGGGGAGGGGAGGAGTTCGTCTTCAGTGGAGGCGCCGATCAGGTCGAGAGATGGGCTTTTCTGGTGGGAGGTGATGTGTGTGTTTGGCTGATCTTTTGGTTGGACAGCGTCAGGTTTAGTGATTCCCGAGTACTCGTTGTCGATGGTTTGAGGGAATGGCAGGGCAAGGTCGTCTTGTGACCCGTTTTCGGTTTCTTGTGAATCGGGTATCACTTCGGCAGGTGGTGTTGCATGCTTTCGTACTCGAAGTGTTGTCGGCGAAGAGAAAGCTGGCTCGGCTTTTATCGCTATGCAAGAAGATTCCCGGACTGGTGTTGCGACATCGTCTTGCGTTGGTAAGTCTGCAAGCAAGTCGCTTTGTAGTGTGTCTTCATCGATCAAATCTCTCGTCTCGATGGACGGCAGTATCACATCCCCAGATACATCGACAAGTGTGTCGTCATCGTCGTGATTTATCGGGAGTTGATCCCCGTCGGAATCATCGCCAGCAAGAGATAACAGATCACGCTCATCGTCATCATAATGAGTGCTTGACGATCGCAAATCCGGAATGCCATCTTCTGTCGACTGGACAAGGCCCCGGTGATAGTCTTCATGCTCGGAAGAACTCGGTGTCGGCAGATGGTGCGGCGGCTTCGACACGGCGGGATGGTGTTCCTGGGAGACCTGATCCTCCCCTACAACGCGACCACCCTTAGAAGCTACAGCAGGCTCTTGTAGGTGAAGATTCCGATCCTTGATCAAATTCCAGCGGTTGTGAAGTGCAGCCATTGGCCACCCCTTCCACTTTTGTTGGCCGTCTTTGATGACCGCCCATGATACACCGTCTATTCTCTTGCGCTTGCTTATGTACACATCATCTTCGTGAGTAAAGCGATACTTCCTCGCTGTCCTGGGGATGCGCCTCTGGATCTCAACACGCGGACTGGTTCGACGGGGTCTCGTTGGCGAGCTTTCATCCGGTCTTGTACGAATCAAGGCGCAGGGTCTTCCGTCAGCGACATCCCTTGAGATAGTGTGTGAGTGTTGTGGACCTGTCTCTTTCGCTATCGGTGCTGTTGTGTAACCTGGGAGAGGGCTCGACAGGGCGACTGGACATTGGCGCGGTTGTGCAGACAGAGGTGGAAAAAACCAATTCGGGTCCGTCGCAGGCGCTACCTTGTCATCTGTTGTTATTGGAGTAATCGGCGGAGGGGCAGCGTTTGCGAAGGGTATCGAGGCGTTTGGCGGTACAAGACCGGCTACGGCTTGATTGACAGCTTGGTGAATTGTCTGCAGTAGACTGGCATGAAAAGCGCTTTGTGCTTGCTGTCCCGCAGGTGTTTGTGGAAAATGAAGATGTTGTAGGAGGTCTGCGGTGGGGTTCGAAGGATTGGGCGTTTGCGGAACGCCGAATTGCGGTATGGACGCTGTTGTGAAGGCTGGTTGAGGTAATGCAGATTGTGGCGCGTTGGCTTCTGTGGCTTCGATCGGCTGTTTGCTCGTATCTTGCTCAGACGGTCCAGCAGCCTTTGGCTTGACCAGCTGCGGGGGTGCCAGTTCGTCCTCCGAATCTTCCCCCTCTCCCTTCTCCTCGTCATCATCTTCATCGTCCTCCGGATGGCTCCCAGATCCCATAACAATTGATTCCAGTAACGTCTTCTCTTTGCCATTGCTTTGACGCTTTATTCTTCGCAGATGGCCTCTATCCACAACCACCCGGTTTGTGTTGAAGTCGATTTCGTCGCTTTGGGATGGATTCATGTTTCCAAATTTCTCAAATATAGACTCAAATCGGCTTTTGAGCTTCTGTTGTTGTTTCTGCTTGGCCTTGATGTATTCGGCATTGTCTTCGTCGACCTCGACTGAGTGCAGTATGCGCATGCGCTTTGCCGGCGGTTCCATGGCGCGTGTTGCCGCGCACTTTAGCAGCAAGCATGTGTCTCAAACAGCGTGAAGGCGGTGTAGAATAGGGGTAGGTGTGTGGGTGGTGGGCGTTTGCGTGTAAGACAGTTTGTGAATGTGATGCTGTGATTGACGCGAACAGCGAGACGCGACGCGGTTTCCTCGGCAGGCACCCGACACTTAGCGGCAGCCCCACCCGCATGCAGGTGATCGCCAGTGAACCGCAACCGTCATTCCGTCAGCGCCTTGGAACAGACGACCTCTCTTCAAGCATGAAGAACAATAGCTCATGACAACATGGCCATCGACAAGAAACAGACGGCCCTGGCCTGTCAGAAATGCCGCACGCCCATAGACATCGACGCGTCCATCGACCAGCTCAACCCGGCCGCCTTTAAGCTATTGACTGGTACATGTCTATTCGATGACGACTATTCTACATCGTACTAACATACCCCAGACTCGACGGTATCAGGCCAGCAGTCGGCGCCAAGAATCTCCCCCAACCGCCAGTCGCGCCCTCCGAACCCGCCCGAACACCTCAAGACATATCAAGATGCGGCCAAAGACGCCAGGAACCCGACCTTCAAGCGCAACATCCAAGGCGCACCGCCTTCGGGGCTCTCAAATGGCCCCCAAAACCCCGCCATGTCCTTCATCGACGTACACATGTCCGAGTCGATGATAGACCCACCCTCTTCAGCCGTCCGTAGCCCAGATCGGAAACCACAAGCAGGCGAGACGAAGCCGAACGCGAATGACAAGACACGCCGGAAGAGCTTCTCAAATGGACTGGGCATACAGGGAGGCGCGAGTCTGGCCGACACACTGGAAACAACAAACCGCATGTTCGAGATATTATCAGCACGCTCCGACGTCGACCACCCTATATGCGTAGAATGTACCGAGCTGCTCATCGAAGGCCTCCAGAAGCGATTAGGCGTAGCGACCCGCGAACGCGACGCATACGTCGACTACCTGCGCCGCGCCAACACCGACGTGCCCAGCGCCGAAGAAGTCAAAGCCGCCGAAGCCGCCCTCAAAGCAGCCAAGAAAGCCGAAAGCACCGCCATCACGCAGCTCGAGAACCTCGAAGCCGAAAAGGCCGAACTAGACGCCCAGCTCGCCGCCCTAGAAGTCGAGAGCCGGATCCTCGACCAAGAAGAAAGCGAGTTCTGGAAGAGCAGAAACGCCTTCAACACCACCTTGACCACTATCCAAAACGACCGCGACGCTCTAGCCACGCGGTATGCACACGATGCGCAGATTCTAAACCAGCTACAAAGGAGAAGTGTATACAACGACACCTTCAACATAACCCACGACAACCACTTCGCCACCATCAACGGCCTCCGCCTCGGCCGCCTGCCAAACCCCTACGTCGACTGGCCCGAAATCAACGCTGCATGGGGTCAAACATGTCTCCTCCTCGCCACCCTAGCCGACCGACTAAACTACAAGTTCGACGGCTACGAACTCTGTCCCATGGGCTCTACATCGACCATCACGCGTATCGAAACCAAAGGCGGCACTGGAAACACAGTGTCTGAATCAACACGCCAACCCCAATCTACAAGCGCCAACTCACCCCAAGTAACAAGACAGAAACTCGAACTCTACTCCTCCGGTGACTTTCCCATAAACTTTGGGTTTCTACATAGAAAGTTCGATACGGCGATGGTTGCGTTTTTGGAATGTCTACGGCAACTGGGTGAGTTTGTGGAGAACTCTGCTGCTGCGCCGTCGCACGTTGCAGGTGGTGGTGGTGTTGGTGCTGGAATAGCGGCACCTGGAGGCGGACCGCCAGGCGGCGTCAAGATGCCGTATGAGATACAGAAAGATCGCATTCATGATCAGAGTATCAAGTTGGCGTTGAATAAAGATGAGGGATGGACGAAGGCGTGCAAGTATACGTTGACGTGTTGTAAGTATTTGCTTGCTCATGCGAATAACGTGGAGAGTTTGGGGGCGAGGCGGCGGTAGGGGAGTAGAGAGTGAGTTTGGGGAATGTGTGGTTTGCTTGCTTGATTAGATACCCCATTGATCATTTTTGTGTTTATAGACTTGGCATACTCTTTCTGTTATGGTAATGAATGTTCATGACGGGTCACCACGAGTTGGTATATTGATATGATAGTCTTGCATCTCTACCCATCTCCTTGAATGCTACTGACTGGGTGCTTTGCATGAAGCGCCCTCAACATCCGATCTCCTTATCTCACGTTGCATTATGGGAAGCCATGCACTGCACAAACGTACCCAGGAATACATGCGCACGGCGCATTCCTATCTCATGTGATACAGCGCCAATAACGGGAACATGATGAGGCTCTTTCGTGTCCCCAACGTCCGATATCCCTATCTCGTGTTACACCTACCTGGGATGAGGATACTACATCACGGATGCTAGCCCTACTGCAGAAATATACGAGGTTGTGCAGACATCCCGTGCAATAGTAGGTTTGAGCTACATTTGATCTCATAGCTGCGAGATAAGGATTGGAAGCTTGTTCGAGACTAGCATTTGGCTTGAAGGTCTATAGGCGATAGTAGGGTCGCAGTTCCGTGTTGCTGTACCCTCAAGCTTACTCTGATGAAGCCTTGCGTACATGGGCGTGTCTTGCGAGAGGTAGCACTGAGAGACATCTCCCGTTGTTCAAGAT